TGGAATTGAGGATTATTAGATTTCATCTATTGACATAGTTATTTTATAATTTCAGGTCATACAGTCTGATGTTCGATAATTTAGCAGGTGGAAGATTTCAATATGACGAACAGTTGGAGAAATTATTTGAAGATTGTTATTCGCTAAGATAAATAATATAATGACATTAGCTATTTCTTCAAACAATATAAGTTTATTTTTCAGGTACTGTGATATTAATATTTTGTATTATTACTTCCTTTTGTTTGTTAAGATTTAACGAGATATTCTATGGTTTTATGATTCCATATTAATATGTTTTGTTATTTCCATTATTTTTTGGTCGAATGTAGTAGCTATTGTTAATGGTGGCTAAACTTACCGTTATAGCTTGTGACTTTTAGCGCCAATTTTGCAGGATATACCGGCTTAACAATAAAAGGATAAATTAAGACGTTTATACAGGGATATTGTAGCCATTATTTTGCTATTAAAGATGACTTTTAGCGGCAATTTAGTTAAGTTTACTAGCCATTAAAATGGACTCTAAAGGGGCATACTAATATGTTTTTAGAAGAGATATTGTTGCCATTCTAGTTGCCACAAAACAGTTACCGCTAAAGGTATGGACTTTTAGCGACAAATATTTTGAATTTAGCTGCTATAAAAATGAACGTTAAAGGGGCATTATTAGCCATTTTTAGAATGGGTTTAGCAGCCATAATAATTGCCGCAAAAAATTACCGTTAAAGCAAATGAGTTTTACCGGCAATAAGTCATACCTTTTACCAGCTTTTGTCAGAAACGCCGCTAAAGGCTTTACCGACCCCGGCTTCAGCGGCTAAAGATCAACTGCCGGTAAATGATATAGCGGCTACTGTTATTACTGCCAATGCTATTTTTTATTGCCGCTAAATCCCATTTCTGTTGTAGTGTCGGGGTATTCTTATACATGGAGTAATAAACAATAAGGACATGATAGAGTGCTAAGTAGAATTGACAGGGTGATCACCAACAATGACTGGGTGAATAAACTGCCAGCATCCGAGGTTCAATATATGCCAGCAGGAGTATATGATCACAGTCTTGCAATGATCAAATGGGAGGGAACAGGTGCACCTAAGATGAGGATATTCGATACTACAACATGTGGAGCAAGGACAACTCCTTCATGACAAGAGTAGAGGGGAGCTGGAGACAACCAATACAGGGGACGAACATGTTTAGAGTGATGGGAAAATTAACAGACTTAAAAAGGTATTGCTAAAGTTAAATAAAGACAAGTTTGTAGAAGTAGAGAACAGGAAGATGAAAGTATGAAGAAGCTGGTAGAATGATAAGAGAAAATACAAAAAGATCCCAGGAATGAAATGTTAAGCAAAGAGGAGAAGGAATTGACAAAGCAATACATATACAGGAAGGAAGCAAAAATAAACTACTTGCAGCAAAATAGTAAAGTACAATGGCATAAATATGGAGACATGAACACAAGCTATTTCCACTCAGTGATTAAGGCAAAGAGAGCAGCAAGCAGAATATTCACAATCCAGAACATGCAAGGAGAAACAATCCAATCAATAGATGCAGTAGCTGATGCTTTCAAGGAATTCTATACAAGTTTACTGGGCACCAACAAGCAGAACAGAGATCATGTGGCAAGCCACATAGTCAAAGAAGGACAGATTGTCTCAGAAGAACAAAGGAACCAGCTGATAAGAGAGTTTTCACAAAAGGAAGTTAAAGAAGCACTATGGGATATAGAAGGGACAAAGGCACCAGGACCTGATGGGTAGGGTAGCCAATTTTTTAAGGATAGCTGGAACATTGTAGGGGAGGATATCACTGCAGCTGTGCTGTAATTTTTCCAATATAGGAAATGCTCAAAGCTCTTAATAGTACAGTGAGCACCCTCATACCAAAAACCTCTCATGCTACAATAGTTGCAGATTATAGACTTATAACATGTTGTAATGTGGTGTACAAGATAATCTCAAGATGATGTGTAATAGATTGAAAGTGGTGCTGCCAGACATCATATCACAAAACCAAAGTGCCTTTGTGCCAGGGAGAACAATAGTGCAGAATATACTGATCTGCCAAGATTTGGTCAGATTATATAATAGGAAACAAACCACTAAAAGCTGATTGATCAAGGTAGATTTTAAAAAGGCATATGATTCTATTGAATGGAAGTTTGTGGAGGAAATGATGCATGCACTAAACTTCCCTGGACTATTCATAAGGTGGATCATGGAATGTATTGTAACACCCCGTACATTTGGACTAGGTGTGGATATGTTAAATGGGTATTAATATGATACTTTAGACATATAAAGTCCTAGAGGGATGAGTATGGGTGAAAATAGTTATTTTAGAATCAAGACGAAGAGTGAGGTGTACAAGATTCGATAAAATCTACTAAGTTTGCAAAAGGTCAGTCTTGCAGCAGGATTTAGTAAAAATGTGTACGGTATCACTTATGGTAGTGTTACTGCTATTTTACGTGGTCAGGTGCGCGGGCAGCGCACTTGAGGGGTCATTTTAAAACCCTACTTCGTCCTCCGCACCCCCAAAACACAAAAACTTTCTCTAGAAAGGGGAGCTCTAAAAAACCTGACTCCTTAAGGGTCTCTCCACCATCCAAGGTAAGTTCTAGTGGTGATTCTAAGTTAATTTCAATTTTCTTAACATCTTATTAACATGGGTAAACCCTCCATATCATTGGATATTCGATTGGGACATCATTGTTGAGAGAAGGAACCCTAGAACTCGAATTCAAGGGGATTGAACTTCAAAAAGGTAATGTCTTCACCTTCTAATTGATTCTAGCATTGGATTAATGATTATAGACTCTAGTTCATGAGATATGAGTTGATGGGTTTGACTGAAAAGCATGAACGGTTATAGGTTTGGGGTGTTGATTGTTGATTATTCGTTAAGGGTGTTGTTTACCTTATGGGTGATAAAGAATGATGTTGATTATAACCATTTGAGATTTCAGAATTTATCTAGGAGGAAGAGAATGGGTTTTTGGGTGAAGAAACTCCATTAATGAGGGATATGAAACTTTATACCCACCAAGTGTTTGATAAAATGCCTAAGTGACCAAAACATGAGTATTATTGCTAATATGGTATCCCTTTGACTTGTATTGATATAGATTAAAGTTGAAAGGGTTGGCGGATGTTGTATTACGCTCAAGAGCAGGAAGTTAAGGTATGTGAGGCTAACTCTCTATGTTTGGGAATGTTAATGATTCTCCCTACACTATGTTTCTTTTACCGCGTTACTAATTGCCTCAGAAATATAGTTTAGCCTAGTTCCTTGAATAGACGTAGAACTTCTATTCTCTAGCTTCATAACTCGTTCATGACTTTCATTCTGAACCTTGTAAGCTCAGTGCGTATTCAATATAGACTTGGTTTTGATGCCCCCAAGTCTTAGTATATATTACTCAGTATGCCATAAACAGTTGAAGTTTCAGTGTTCATACTCAGTTCAAGAATACACATCTCAGTCTATTCTATTCAGTATTCCAGTATTATGTAACTCAGTGTGATCCAGTATTCCAGTATCATGTAACTCAGTGTGATTCAGTATTTCACTATCATGTATTGCAGTATGATTCTCAGTTCCTGATTTTAAATCCCTGAATGTTGAACACCTGTATTTGGGCCTCAGACCGTAGTTTATGCTTTATGCATCTTTGGGCCTGAGGCTGCAGTTTATGCTTTATGCATCTTTGGGCCTGAGGCCGTAGTTATGTATACGTATACTTTGTCCTGAGGCCGTAGCTTGTGCACATATGTATTGGGCCCGAGGCCGTAGCTTATTCAGATAAATAGGTTATTCATCATTCAGAAGAGGGAGTGTCCATATCCTTACTTCCTTTGTTCAGTTCAATTATTAGTTATCATTTCAGCTACCAGTTATCAGTTCAGTTTCAGTCTCAATAGTTATCATTTCAGGTATCAATTATCAATTCTCAGTTATCAGCTTAGTTTCAGTTTCAGCATTTATAATTCTTTCTTTCAGTTGCTTTACATACCAGTGCAATTCAAATGTACTGATGTCCCTTTTGCCCGGGGCCTGCATCTCACGATGCAGGTAATGATTTATAGGTTGGCGATTCAGAGCACTAAGATTCTCGTACCAGCTATTTGGTGATCCCCAGTTCTTTCGGGGCATTATCATTACCTTACAGTCTTCAGTATTTTCAGACAGTCAATGTTTTCAGTACTTCATTAGAGGCTTCATAGACTAGAGTAACAGTTAGACAGAGTCACAGAAATTTAAGGTTAAGTAATGTTGCTACACATATGTTTCAGGACTATATTAGTGTTTCTGCATTTGATTTATATCATTTAGACTTTCAGTATATCAGCATGTGTTAGTTTATCTTCCGCATTCAGTATGTTATGATATCACATGTTGATTCAGCCAGCCAGTTGGTTCGCTCGATCACATGTAGTCAGGCACCGAGTGTCGTGTTACGTCTAGGCCCAGGTTCGGGGTGTGACATGTATCATAACAACCAGCTACAACATAAATTTAAATGGAGGATAGTATGGCAAAATAAAGGGGAAAAGAGGACTAAGACAGGGGATCCAATCTCCCCCTTACTGTTTGTGATTTGTAAGGAATATTTTGCGCATTATGGGACATGTGGCTAAGCACAAAGAGTTTACTTATCATACAAAATGCAAAGGATTGAAGCTGACACACCTTTGTTTTGCGGATAATATGATATTATTCAGCAAAGGAGATTATGCATCAGTAATACTCATGCTAAGGGGATTCAATTCATTCTCGAATGTATCTGGTATGACAGTTAATGCAAATAGATCGAATATCTTCTGTGCAAATATGAATGGAAGAGGGATAGAAGACATATGCGAGTTGACATGATATAAGAAAGGTAAACTACCATTTAAGTGCCTTGGAGTGCCTATATCCCCAAAGAAACTAAGTGCGGTAGATTGTGAAATGCTGATAGACGTGATACTGGTAAGGATAAAAGGATGGGGATCCAGGAACTTATCGGCAGGGAGAACTTAATTGGTAAATACAGTGTTGCTTCACCTGCACTCATACTGGGCATCCATATTCCTTCTTCCAAAAAGGGTCATGAAAGACATTGTAGCTATATGTAGAAATTACTTATGGGATGAAAAAAGTGTCACGAACAAATCACCACTGGTAGCATGGGACCTAGTCTGTCGTCCGAAAAGAGAGGGAGGATTAGGAATACAAGAATGTTTGGCATGGAATGAAGCAGCATTGGCAAAATATATATGAAATATAGAGCAAAAAAGTGACTCATTATGCGTTAAATGGGTAAATCACATATACATAAAGGGCGGATTGGTGGCAATACAATCCAACACAAGATAGTGAATGGTATTGGAAGAAGATATGTGATATCAAAACATTGTTTGCTTTAGGCTTTGAACAAAAAGGGTGGAAGGGGCAAATGAATAAATACACAGTAAATTAAGGATATCAATGGAGAAGAGGAGCAACACCTAAGTGGCCATATGAACGATGGATTTGGAATAGATTAAATGTTCCAAAACACTGCTTTATAGGTTGGTTGATCATGAGACAGAGACTACTTACAATGGACAGATTACATATGATGGGAGTGAGCCAGGAGAGAACATGTCTGCTATGTGGAATGCAGGATGAAACAGTACATCATCTGTACTTCGAGTGCCATTTCTCCAGAAGATGCATTGACGAACTATGCAGCTGGTGGGGAATAAAGCTGAAACAACCAGATATGCAGAGCAATTGGAGAAAAATAGGAAGATGTATAAAAGGGAGAATATGCCGAGGATTTGTGACCTCAATCATCGCAACAATAATGTATGGAATATGGCGAGCAAGGAATGAAGCTCTATGGAATCAAAAAGTGCCAATGCCAACAAAGATGTGGAAGAGCATAAAAGAGGATAACAAATACAGGCTGCAACTCATAGAAGCTAACAGAAAGAATAGGAAAATAGAGTGGATCAATCATTTGTACAGATAGGAAAAAGCAATGACTATTCAAGAGTGCAGAACTAGCTTCTAACTGGGCAGACCTACCTAGTAGGGATGCTCAAGGAGAAGAGAACAATGATATAGTTTTGATGTTGGGCTAGATAGAACAACTTATAGATTATGGTAGGAATATATCACTTGTAAATAACTTTGTCGGGTGGGGATCAATAAAAATCTTTCTTTCACCAAAAAAGAAATAGAATTGACTGTTTCTATCTACAAGAATCCTAATTAATCAAGATATAACATATGTACTACGTACTCAAGGATTTTTTTTGGTACAATAAAAAGAAAACGTAACTCCCTTTGGAAGCAGTGGCAGATGAAAAGTAATGCATTTAGGGGTAAGAACCTAAAGATTGAGCAACAATAACTACGTCTCAATCACAAGAAAGAATTTAAAGATTGAACTCATCAAATTAAAATTTTGGATCCATCTCTGAATGGAAAACCCCTTCCAACATTTCTAGTATATTAGCCTCCACACCTCATGAATGATTTTCCTCACTAAAATTTGGTTCAGCTGGTTTTTGAAGCAGTAGAGGTAATGTTGGAGATAATTTGGCACCAGTTGTATGGTTGCGTCGCAAGGCGCGTAGTGCATTAGCAGCAAACCTTGATGCATAAATGGTAGCTCCAAGACTTGGTGCATTTGTGCTCTCTTTTGCTAATGCAGCCTGCAATCTATCTTCTTCCTCTCTTAAAGATTTCTCAAGCTTGTTCCTACAATGTCGACGCCATGCTACTTGTATAAAGCATGCACCCCATGTCCTCCATTGCTGTAAGTAAAACCTGAAATAATCAAGTATACAAGTATTAATGGCTTCCTCCAAAACTTATACACCAGTTACTTAGGTTAATTTCACAAATGTTCACTCAACGCCGGACCACAAGGGTCTATCATACGCAGCCTTACCCTGCATTGTTGCAAGAGGTTGTTTCAACGGCTCGAACCCGTGACCCCATGGTCATATGACATCAACTTTACCAGTTACGCCAAGGCACCCCTTCTAACTCAACTATAATTATATTGCATAGAAGATAAAAAGTATACCAAAAATTGTCGCGAGAAACTCAAGTAGGCTGTCACATGTATAAAATTGTCACGTAAGTATAGTCATGCCAACAACTCGTGTTACATACTATCTATGTGGTACCAACTAAAAAAATAAAATAAAATAAAAACTCATTTTTTGATCCAACCTAATACCTTACGTCTTTCATTATGTGGCACATCGTGGTTTTTATTTTTTTATTTTTATTTTTTGAGTAGAACAAATTAAATAAGTTATTATTTTGTTAAGTGGCGCCGCATAGATGTTATGGAAGTAAGTTGTTGAAGTGACAACTTGTGTTTTCAACCAGATTTAGCAATTTCTAGCCTTTTTCCTTAATTTTCCGTCAGATATAGGCGTACTTGAGTTATTTCTTACAAAAATTATTATAATGACTTTGGTAGTTTGGTACAATAAGCTTAAAGTTCGACGACCCTATATGAATTAACCACCAAAACTTATACCAGTAACTTATGCATCATGCTTTTGAAGCATGTTTATTTGCTGGTATTGTTGCTTTGCTGTTACTCTTTTCTGTCTATCTTTCTTCAGGAAACAACTCCTCTATCTTCTTCAGGTAGAGGTAAGGTCTGCGTACATTTTATCCTCCCCTCACCTCACTAGTGGGATTACATTGGATTGTTGTTGTTGTTATATTAAGCAAACAAAGCAGGATTGAAGGCTTAAACAACATACCTGAAACTATGTTGAAGCTATTTGCTAAAGGCAACAAACTTGAGATCATCAGCGGCGAGGGAAAAGGCTTTGTTTATCTCGAAAATATGAGTAACAATTAAATTTAATTTGTGGTTTTAAAAATATGTGATTTAGTTCAATATTAATTGATAATCAAAAAATATGAAGTAGAAATGAAAGAAATAAGGCAATCAAACCAATGTTACTCAGCAGTGGTGACCTCGAGCTTAGTGACCTCGAGATGAATCAGGAACAATAAAATAAGAACAGTAAAGAGAAAGGACAATTCTGATGAACAGTAAGCAAAAAGTAGAGAGTATATTCTTTGCCAATGATTAGATGATGCTTACAAATGATTGGAGTCCCCTTTTTATATAATGGGGAAACCCTAAATAAGGTACATTTCTATTTACAGTAAGGAATCTTATTGGGACAGCTGTCTAACCGCCTAGTACGGATTCGTTCCGGATTTTATGCCATGATCCCAGGGTCACTGCGGCTGCGGGAATCTTGTTCTTTCTGTTATGGGATCATAACGATATTATCTCGAGGTCGCTCATACTTGGCCTCAGTGTCCATCGAGTACTTCGATCTTCGAAGCCTCCCATCGGGCTCACTCATGGTCTATTTCGATTTCTGTCCTGAAGTAACCCTCGAGTTCACGAAATCGGGTAGCCCCGATTTCTACCGTATACAGATAGTCCCCTCATTTTTTGGAGTATAACGACAAGAAACGAATTGAGCGCTTGATCTTTACCCTGATTTCTTACGACATCATCATCGTGACGTAAGCGACAAAGGAAACAAAAGCTCGAAAGCTGGCTTTTCCCGAGGACGACTTCGAGAACTCTAGCAAGTCCGGCGGTGGAGAAGATTCTGTAGGTGAAGACACTTCTGCCGATAAGAATCGCGCTGCTTAGGTTTCGTGTTCTTCGTGATTTTTCACTTTTGAGGCTGATCGGCCCTTGTGCGGAACTTTTGATCATGACCCATAGCCCTTGTTAATAGGTTTATACAAAGCTTTTTTCCTTCCAAGGCTTCTGAATATGTTACATTTTTGTACGGGTCAGAGCGTCTTAGCATAAAATTCCCTTTTAATATCCAAAGTTTTGAGATGGTAATGACCGACAATAAGTACTGCCCTTGACCGTTTCTGATCAATGGACCCCGAATGATCGTTTGACCTTGAGTTTGAGTAGCTCTTAGGCCAAACAGTCGATGAGGTAAGGTAGCCCTTGGGCTTGATGTTTGAGTGGGTATATGCTCGAACTTGAAATGAAAGATTGCCCTTAGGCTTCGTAGTCGAGCGAGGATTTGCTCGACTCGAAGGAAAGTTAGCCCTTAGGCTTTTATATATAGTCCCCGAGTGAGAATTTTCTCGAACTCGAGTAGCCCTTGGGCTTAGTAGTTGAGTGAGTGCTTGCTCGAACTCGAAATAAAGTTAGCCTTTAGGCTTTTATAGATAGTCCCGGAGTGAGAATTTGCTCGAACTCTGATAGCCCTTGGGCTTAGTAGTCGAGTGAGTGCTTGCTCGAACTCGAAATAAAGTTAGCCTTTAGGCTTTATAGATAGTCCCCGAGTGAGAATTTGCTCGAACTCGGATAGCCCTTGGGCTTAGTAGTCGAGTGAGTGCTTGCTCGAACTCGAAGTAAAGTTAGCCTTTAGGCTTTATAGAGGGTCCCCGAGTGAGAATTTGCTCGAAATCGGATAGCCCTTAGGCTTAGTAGTCGAGTGAGTGCTTGCTCGAACTCGAAATAAAGTTAGCCCTTAGGCTTTATATATAGTCCCCGAGTGAGAATTTGCTCGAACTCGGGTTAAGGTAGCCCTCGGGCATAGTAGTCGTGTGATTGCTTGCTCGAACTCGAAATAAAGTTAGCCCTTAGGCTCTTTAGATCGGCCCTTAGGCTCTTTTGTATTGGTCCTTAGGCTCTTTGAGTTGGGCCAATTCGGCCTCTAACAACGGCTATAATTTTTTCCTCTTTTCGGCTAAAAGACTTAGTGAAAATNCTGCCAAACTTAGGTTCCCCTGCACCAACAATATGGCCGAGTATGAAGCCTGCATCTTAGGACTCAAAATGGCCATTGACATGAACGTTCAAGAGCTGCTAGTGATTGGAGATTCAGACTTACTTATACATCAGGTACGAGGAGAATGGGCAACCAAGAATTCCAAGATACTCCCGTATTTGCACCACGTACAGGAATTGAGAAAGAGGTTCACGAAGACGGAATTTCAACATGTTCCCAGAATCCAGAATGAGTTCGCCGATGCATTGGATACCCTATCATCTATGATACAACATCCAGACAAGAATTTCATTGATCCCATTCCGGTGAAAATCCATAATCAGCCAGCTTACTGTGCCCATGTTGAAGAAGAAGCTGACGAAAACCCTTGGTTTCATGATATCAAGGAATATTTGGCAAAAGGAGAGTACCCAGAGCTTGCAAATCCTACTAAGAAATGCACACTTCGGAGATTGTCCAACAACTTCTTTCATAACGGAGGAATCCTGTATAGGAGGACTCCTGATTTAGGATTATTAAGATGTGTCGACGTAAAGGAAGCATCCAAGCTACTAGAGGAAATTCATGCTGGGACCTGTGGTCCACATATGAACGGTTTTGTCTTAGCAAAGAAGATACTCCGGGCTGGTTACTTTTGGATGACTATGGAAACAGACTGCATCCAGTATGTCCAGAAATGCCACCACTGTCAGATACATGCAGACATGACAAAGGTACCTCCAAATGAGCTTAAGGTAACAAGCTCACCGTGGCCGTTCGCCACTTGGGGAATGTACATTATTGGACTAATCGAGCCTGCCGCTTCTAACGGACACAGGTTCATCCTAGTAGCCATCGACTGTTTCACCAAATGGGTCGAAGCAGCATCTTACAAAGCAGTGACTAAGAAAGTCGTGGCAGACTTTGTCCGCGACCGCATTGTTTGTTTATTCGAAATTCCGGACTCAATCATTACTGATAATGGCTCCAACCTCAACAACGACTTGATGAAAGCTATGTGCGAAACTTTCAAGATCAAACACAAGAATTCCACAACCTACAGACCTCAGATGAATGGAGCTGTAGAAGCCGCCAACAAGAATATCAAAAAGATATTGAGGAAAATGATAGAGAAGCATAGACAATGGCACGAGAAGTTATCATTTACTCTACTGGGATATCGCACCACAGCCCGCACATCAACCGGGGCAACCCCCTATATGCTGGTTTA